GAAATGTTTCTTTCACAAGAAATGTATAAAATTACAGTACTAAACAGACGATAGGTCGCCTAACTCGCCGTAGCGTGACGCTAGACGGCGAAAAATATATATTTAATTATAATAAAGTTACAATAAATTAAGTTAATATATAATTATATATACAGTACCTAATTTATATATAATTAATATATAATTATATGTACAGTACCTAATTTATATATAATTTATATAATACTGTCCAGACGATAGAAATCTCTCCGTAGCGTGGCGCTACGGACGGCGGGTAAGTAGTTCGGCTGCCCGATGACGTTTTACGTATTATAGGAGTTATTTTTACCGTTGTTTACGGATAATGCCACAATTTTTATAGGAATCATAACTATAGGAAACGCTTTTATAGGGGGATCTACTGTAATGGCCATGCCAATGAATACAGTGTACTGTATAGAAGAGTACTATGAAGTATTCTAGTGTAAAATTAAACAAGTTACTGTGTGGGGAATACGATGAAAACTACTTTAAAATTTTTAGTATTATTTTAAAAATCCTATATATTCATTAGCAGTATACTACAGTATACTACAAGAAAAATTATGTATTAATACATCACATATAATTCTCTGTACTGTACGTGAAAATGTAGTGCATAGTTTTAAATGTTTAAATCCGAAATGGATGTTTGTTTTCTCTGTTTTAACTTTCTTCGTAAGGTAATGCTTTCAATATTTCATTTGTATTTAGTTGAACTGGATCTCTTTTTCAAGCCAAATGGATTCAAAAAACTGCCCAAATTCCATCCAAATTTGTTGTTATCAATTACTATTTTATCTATATCTATTACTGGAAAGATTAAACTCTCTTGCTTTGTTCCATTTATTCTTATTAAATTAAATAATATAACACAATTGGGCTAATTTATTTTTGNACGTTTTTGATAGACATATGAATCTTGTTGAGGTAAATTAAAATTAAGTATTTTAATATATAAACCCAATAAAATTTAAAAGTATAATTTAAGAGAGAAGTTCAATGTGAAGTAGTATCAGTAATATCAGAAATTTTCTTTGAATTAAAGGTATGCAAATATAAGAAAAACAACTACTAAATAATATTGAATATTGGGCATCCATTTAAAAGATTGTGTGTTGTACATGAAAATTCATTGAGCAAATGATTTTAAAAAATTAGTGAACATTTTCTATAATTTAATCTTCTTTTTAGCTGTTTATAACAGAGTATTCTTTCTAATAAGTTATTTTTTCAATTTTTAAAAGATCAGTTTTGCAAAATAAAATTGATTAAACTTGTTAGAATTATTGAATTATTTAAATTTAAAATAAGACATTTTATTATATGAAAATTTTTATTAATTCATAATTGTAAAATTGAACGATTTTGAAGAGAGAAAACACTATTTAAAAATTTTAAAATTTATTGAACTTGTCCCTTAATAAATTTCCTAAATTTTACTTTTTATAAAATGCTTCAAATCCTTTGATTGTATTTTCTTTTCTATCAATATAGCTACCAATATCACACCACGATAAAAATGTGACCAGATTAGAACTTCTTTTTTCAATTAACTCCAAAATGTACATTTTGGGTCTTTTGACCCTTCTTCAGTTGGACCATACAATTTTCATTAAAAAATTTAATTTAAAATTTTCCATGTATAGTTTTAATTTTCTTCCAAGTATGACTTTATAAAATTAAATACTAATTCCAAACAAGTTATCCTTTGTACTCATTTAAAACTTTTCCAAAAAGGATTTTAAGTAATCAAAAGATTACTTAAAACTTTTAAAATACAATAGCTACTGATCACTTAAACTATCTTATATTAATTGTCTAATCTGAATTTCTACTCAACTTTCTCACCTTCTAATGGCATTAATGGTAACCATATATTATCAGTTTCCATTTATACAATTATTAGACTTTCTCCAAATTTACTTTGTTTTTATTAAATCATAAAAGAATTAAAAATAAAAAAAGTCATTATAAAATTTCAATGTATTTTTTCTTCTTATTTATGAAGTAAATTGTTTTCTGAATTTATATTACATTGTTAATTATTTGTGATAATTCAAATATCAGATCATTTAAACTTTTACTAGGTTCTTTGGAATTAATGAGCATTTATTGTATATATTTTCTAAAAGGTAGTTTTAATTTTAAGTTATTTCTAAATTCTAATATTTTAAATATGTTTATAATTGTTTTTACACAGAAAATATGTGATATGATCCTTCTATGCAATGTAGAAAACTTACCACATTATATACAAAATTTTATACAAGCTATACTTGTAAGTATTTATTTATATAAAATTTGTTTAGTATTTTTCATTTGACAAGTAAAAATGCTTATTTTATTTCAGGCACAGTATCCTTGTTTTCCAACATATTCAGCTGTTTCAATATTAATATTACAAACAAAGTTGTCAAAAATCTTTGTTGGTACTGCTGATTATCAGAATTCATTAATAAATTTATCTCTTTCTATCATATTTTATTCGATTGCAGCTATTAATTCAGAACATTATAGTGGAACTGAAGATGGATCAGTTTTGAGAATAGTTTGTCAGTTTTTGAAAACATTAAATTTTTCATCTAAAGTATGTAATATTATCTGGAATTCTGTAAAAGGTATGCAAATGTAATTGAAATTAATGTTTTTAAAATTTTAAATTTTCTGAATATTTAATTTCTTCTATTTTAGTAATGCACATTCAACAAACAGCAGTTTTAGGATCAGTGTTTTCATTATTATTAAAATGCAATTTGTTTGGAATGGAAGAAATTGTTGTTGTCGATAATATTTTATTGGAGTTAAAGGTAATGCTTAGATTTTTTTAAATATTATAGTAAATGTTCAAACTCACTTATGACAATTTCTGTATATGATTCACTTGATAATTTTTCTATATATGTTTATATGTATAATTGTTTTAATGCAATGTTAAAATAAGTTATCCTATTTAAGTTAAAATCTAAGTTTTCTGAGTATAATTTAACATTTTTAATCATTCATTTACTTATAATTAATTATTACAAAGCCAAAAGCATAGTTGTCTCCCCCCTTTAACAATAAAGTGCAAAAAAACATAAGAAATAAGCATTACAATAAATCTATATATATAAAAATGAGTGTGTGTGTGTGTGTCTGTCTGTCCTTCATGCATTACCACACCGTTTATCCGATTGCCGTGAAACTTTGGGAAGTTGTTTAATATACTCCGGTGAAGGTTTGTGGCATAGTACGATTGCCATAAAATTTCGGAAAGTTTTTTAATACACTCCCGCGAAGGTTTTTGGCATAGTACATTTATCTTACGATAGATGGCGCGCATTTACACGAGCATTCGAGCACAGTGTGTTCGATCAATTTCAAATTGTGAAGACCATTCCCCCTTCAAAAAATATTTCTATATATGCATTTGTGAACTGTTATTTACGATATTCGTAATAATGTTTGTTTAATCACTTTATTTCAACTTTTTTTTGCTAATTACGTATTCGCTCGAACTTTGTTAAAACTTTAACTGTATACCGAACAACAACCGAAGTTGTAGAAGGAAATTCGCCTATTTTACCGATCTAGGGATCCCCTTTTCCAAATTTTAATATCATCTAATAATTTAAAAAGACAAATTACAATAAAACGGTTTATTATCCAACTATCAGAAATTTCACAACATGCCAAGGAAGAGAGGAAGGAGCAATTAAATAATTAAAATTATAAAGGATTTAAAAATATATATAAAAATGGGGAATATCGCACTTCTGACAATCGCAGCAAGTGTGTGGGCTAAATTTGGAGAATCCGTGCTTCTCGCATGGTCAACTGTATGTGGCCGGCTCATGCGTCGAAAAATCTTCCGATTTATTCGTGTACGCACCAGAGGGAAAAACAAAAAATATCGTGTATCCACAAACACTCCAATAAATAAATAGAATTGAAACGACACTTTGAAATGTTTTCCCGATGGAAATGAATAATAATAATGTTTCAATAAAAATAATAAAATGTAAATTGAATTTTATCATAACGAGTTTGCTTGAATTTCCTTTCTTCTGAGATTGCAGCAATGCGCGACGGGTAAGCTAGTTTCAAATAAAATATCTTGCACTTAATCCTTAACATATTGAAACTGAGCATTTGAAATCAGAATGAATTATGCATTTGATTTTTGCAACTATTTTAAAGTTTTCTGTGATCTAAATGTAAGTAGTTTTTAATCTCAGAAAAAATTGATACAGTCCATTAGGGAAATCTATTAGTTATATGGTTAAGAATAAAAAAAATTTATATGGTTAGGAATAAAAAAAATTTGCACTGTTATCTAAGTTATTAAAGAGACTCATATTAGAAAGTTTATTTTAGTGCTGGACTGAATATTCTGCATATTGGGAATATTCAGTCACAAAGTAACTACAGTAAACAAGTAGTTCTCATCTTTATAAGTAACTTTTAGAAACCAACTTGTAAAGCAGGACTAATTTTTCATACGAATAAATACATTGTGTGTAATTATTCACGCCTATAGGATTTTAGATAAGAAAACGTTGAAAAACAATAAAAATTTTGTTTCAAATATTTTTATTATTTATATTATTTTTAACATTATTTTTTCTTTGAAAAGAAAGGAATTAAACAATATTTAAAAAAATATTTTTTGTTTAAATGCTCACTTTTTCCACAGGCTGATTAGATGCAGCAGTAGTAGTACCTCTAATGAGAAAATTCTCAACATTGCACAATTAATTTCTTTTCAATACTTTTTTGTTTTAATGTAGTACAAACAAGTAGAACTTAGAGAATATTTGATGCAAAGATCTTTAATCATGCTCCCAGATTTATAAGTGCTTATAATTTTGTACTTATTTTCTAAAGTTATTGATTTACGTTAGTTTTTCTTATTGATATCAGTAACTGTATTGTCTCTTCTTTTATACAGTAGATCCTCGATTATCCGACCCCCGATTAACCGACTGTCTTAGTCGGCAAATTTCAAATGTCCACTAGTGATGTGGTGCTACAATATTTGTCTATGTCTTGGCTACTTTAATGATATTTTTACGTGTTTTAGCTGGCAACACTCATTTAACCATGAAAGGGAGCCAGTATTTAAAGGAGGCTTAATTTTCTAATTTTTAACAATACATTATTATTTAAAAAAATTTTTGTTAGGCTTAACATCAATGAAAATTCAACGCGAAGTAGGTTAATAGCAATATACTAATTACATGGGATATAATAATATATAAGGACCTTGAATAAGTTCTCGCTGTTTTTTTTGTGAAAATTAACACTTTATTTAAAAAAAGTCGTAATAAACACGTCACTGAAAGTATTGTCCGTCGCTAGCCACTACTTTCTCCTATCATTCTAGCAGCATTTGAATTCCATGTTGAAAAAACGACACGTTTTTTGAGGCTATCCAAGAATCAACCCATTTTTTGGCATCTTCATAAGAACGAAAGTGCTGCTCAGCCAGGCCACGTGACATCGATCGGAACAAGTGATAATTGGAAGGGGCGATGTCTGGTGAATATGGCGGGTGGGGTAGGACTTCCCATTTAAGCGTTTCCAAGTACGTTTTCACCGGTTGTGCAACATGTGGCCGAGCATTGTCATGTTGCAAAATCACTTTGTCGTGTCTCTGCTCATATAGCGGCCGTTTTTCCTTCAATGCTTGGCTCAAACGCATCAATTGTAGTCGATAGCGATCTCCCGTGATAGTTTCGTTTGGTTTGAGCAGCTCGTAATAAACTACACCTAGCTGATCCCACCAAATGCAGAGCAGAAGCTTCGAACCATGGATATTCGGCCTTGCTGACGATGT